ATAAGGGACTTGAGCATCTGTGGATTTTGTTATCTGTGGGCAGTGCTGGAACCAATTTCCTACTATAGATACCCAGGGGACTACTATGTTCTGATCCATTACGTTAGTATCTCTAAGTTCATCCGAGCCTTACAATTAAACTATTTACTTGATTTCTCAGACATTTTCCTAATTTGAGGACAAATTATTATTTGTAAGACTATATTTCTGAAAGCTACTTTGATTTAACACAGAATCTCACAACAGCTTCAATTGTCGTCTGTCTTCTTAAAACATACTTATAACTTAATAATAATGGATTTTTTTGACTCATCTTCCTTTATGTATGAATGAAAAAAAGGGAAAATACTCAAAGGGCTATGAACCCATATCGTAAGAAGTGGCCATTAGAAAAGTCATGATAATTTAGTGCATATTAGTTACGCTGGAAATAGGAAATGGGGCTTTGCATTGATGTCTTGGGTATTACAGAGCACAAGGGGTCAAATATAGTAGTCCATAAAAACTAAACTATATACTAGTCACACACATTTTCAATCACATAAAAGATTCAGATCAGAAATAGACAGAATCTCTAAGAATTCCACATTCTTAATAGAGAACCAATGTGCTCAGGGTCCTGACATAGAAAACAGCTGGCTCCTGCCAGAGAACTGCCCTTTAACACACCCAACCGCACTGTGAGCTTTTATAGCTTTGAAAATTTCGACACAAATATTTTACGACTCCTTCCCTTCACCATTTGTCTCCACATTATCATTGCTACTGTCTTGCATAGCAGTCCTTTTATAAATCTGCCCTAAGGCTCCTTCCATCTTGTTCCATTTCCTTTCACCCATCTGTTCCATAAGGAAAAAAGGTTAATATATACCAGGGAACCCATCTTTGCCTTACTTTATGATGATGGAATTCCCTATGGAGACCCTTTGCCCCTTTCCACAAAAAGAGGGAAGTAATTTTATTTTCTCTAAAAATCACCATCCCCTACTAGGACACATGGAAAGCAAAGAGTTGTGCCATGAATTGTACAAAATTCTTTGAGAAGAATCCCACCCTGCACACACCCTTCTCTTTAATGATGACATTCTTCGAAGGTAAAGTTAAATTACACAACTCTGCAGGTGTTCAACCATTACGGGATACTTCTTAAATTGTATGCATAAATAAAGCAATCCTAAGATTAGTACTTATTCAAGTAAATTTGTAAAAATTAAATCAAGTTTGAAAAACTGTTTCAAACACCTTCTTCATTAAAGATTTCCCTTAAATTGGCCGGGCGCTGTGGCTCACGCCTGTAATCCTAGCACTCTAGGAGGCCAAGGCTGGTGGATGGCTCAAGGTCAGGAGTTCGAGACCAGCCTGAGCAAGAGCGAGACCCCGTCTCTACTAAAAATAGAAAGAAATTAGCTGGAAAAATAAAATACATAGAAAAATTAGCCAGGCATGGTGGTGCATGCCTGTAGCCCCAGCTACTCTAGAGGCTGAGGCAGAAGGATTGCTTGAGCCCAGGAGTTTGAGGTTGCTGTGAGCTAGGCTGACGCCACGGCAGTCACTCTAGCCCGGGCAACGGAGTAAAACTCTGTCTCAAAAAAAAAAAAAAAAGATTTCCCTTAAATGTGTACAATGACATACACTGCAGCATTTGTAACAGCAGAGACTAAAAATACTATAAAATGCTAAATATAAAGTAATGTTAAGTAAATTATGTCATATTCATAAAATACAACTCTATGCACCCATGAGAAAGAATGAAAAAGGTTTGTACTGATACGGAACAATCTCTAAAGATATATGGTCAAAAAGGAAAAAGTAAGGTACAGCATGGTGTAGAGACCATACAATTCCTGGTATAAAAAACACCACACGCCGGGTGCGGTGGCTCACGCCTGTAATCCTAGCTCTCTGGGAGGCCGAGGCGGGTGGATTGTTTGAGCTGAGGAGTTCAAGACCAGGCTGAGCAAGAGCGAGACCCCGTCTCTACTAAAAATAGAAAGAAATTAATTGGACAACTAAAAATACATAGAAAAAATTAGCCAGGCATGGCGGCGCATGCCTGTAGTCCCAGCTACTCGGGAGGCTGAGGCAGAAGGATGGCTTGAGCCCAGGAGTTTGAGGTTGCTGTGAGCTAGGATGACGCCACGGCACTCTGGCCCAGGCAACAGAGTGAGACTCTGCCTCAAAAAACAAAAAAAACAAAAAAACCCAAAAAAACACCACACACATATGTTGGGACAAGGAGGAAAAATGTCACTGGGAGGATGTACAAGAAACCAGTCAGCAAATACCTGCTGGGGTGAGGAAACAGGACTGGGATAGGGCAAGATTTATACTATTATACTACATAACCTTTTGTACTATTTGGATTTTTACCATATAAAATAACTTATTATAAATAAATGAACCCTTAGATAAATACGAAATTAAGGTGGTTCCATAAACAGAAATCTCTCTAGAAAACATTAAGCATATTGGGGGAAAAGGAACTTTTTTTTTTAGCAAGATGAAGCATTTTCCCAAATATCACCTTTGCTGAACTTTACAATCCACACCTTCCTCCTCAAGCTTACTTTATACTAAACCCAGTTTAGCTTTACTTAATTTGCTTTGTTTTACACATTCCCACTTAGAATAAAAACCTAGCATAGTGAGTTTATTTTAGTTATATAGCTGGAATTTGATTGCTTTCTTTCCCATCTTGGGTTCATGGCTGAAGGCCTATGACAAAAGGCAGATTAAGAAGAGAAAAGAAGCCAAATTTACTTAGTAAGTTTTATGTGACATCAGAAACCTTCAGAAATGAAGACTCAAAGAAACAGGGAAACAAACCTGTGTATTTTCACGTTTAGGTTTGATGAAAAAGTGGATAGTTGTAAAGTATGATTGGACAGATAGGGTATGATAATGGTAATAAACTGGGTAGAACTTGGTAAGGCCCCTTTTTCCCCCAGATTCTTCTCTGTGTCCCTATGTCTTCAGAGATAAGAACGTTCCTTTCATCCATGTGTAGAAAAGGCACCTCTTGAATGAGGGTCTTATGACCTGTTTCAAGGGAAACAAGTGGGAGAAGGTCAGAGAATGACCTTCCTAGGTTTTATAACCTATTTCAGGGAAGGGGAAGGGACTCCTGCTTCTGCTGTTTTCTCAAATGCCAAAGCGCCATACTTTGAGGGTAGCGTGTTCTGAACCCCACCAGAAAGCATTGCCAGGGATAAAGGAGGACACTTCACAAAGATAAAAAGGTTAGTTCATCAGAAACGTAATATGGCATAATAAGAAACATATTTGGTTTTTGTCCCTGTTTCTGGCAGAGCTCCTAAAAACCCCTGGAATTTCCTGAGTGAAAGGAATGTCTTTTGTTGCTCATAACCAGCCCCCTATTAGCATAACCACACCCAACTTTATGCTAATGAAGCAATTTAGGGTAGGGGCCCCAGATAGCCTCAGGATGGGGCTGGTCAACAGAAAGAAGGAGTGATTAAAGAGAAGGCTGGAACTTTCTGCTCCTCCCACCAAACTGGGGGTAGAGGGGAGGTAGGCTGGAGATGATGCGCTATAAAACTCTTGAACTAGGAAATCTGATGAGCTGCCAGGTTGGTGACTGCATCTACATGCTAGGAGGGTGGTGTACACAAGCTCCATGGGGACAAAAGCTCCTGTGCTTGGAACCCTTCTGGACCTTGTCCTATGTACCTGTTCATCTGGCTATTGATCCGTATCCTTTAAACGTAGGTAAAGTGTTTCCCTGAGTTCTGTGAGCCATTCTAGCAAATTATGAAACTTGAGAAGGGGGTTGGGGCAGCCCTTGATATATAGCCAGTCAGTGATAAGTATAGGAGGCTCAGAATTGGACTTGGCATTTCAAATGGGGGCAACTTTATGGGATTGTGCCCTTTAACTTGCAGGATCTGATGCTAACTCCAGGTATATAGGTACCCATATATATAGGTATATATATATTCAATTCAACATTGAATTAAATTACAGGATATTTGGCCGATGTCCACAGAGTTGGTAAATTGGTTGGTATAGGAAAAAACCCACACATCTTATGTAAGAAGTGTTCTATTTGAGTGTGTTGAGAAACTGTCTTCTACAGTCATGGTATGTGCCTAATAATAGGACTTTCAAAATACATGAAAGAAAAATGGGCACACTTAAAGGGAGAAATACATGACTAGTCTATCATCATAGCTAACTATTTTAACACCCCCCCCAACAACTGATAGGCATGAACAACAAAAAATCAGTATAGACATGGAAGATCTGAATAATACTATTAGCTATGATGAGTTAATATTTATAGAATAATATACTCAACAATTGTAGGACACACATTCTTTTCAATAGTATATAGCTCATTCACTAAGATAAACCATATGTGGGCCATAAACTGGGTCTCAATAAAGTTAAAAGAATTAAAATCATACAAAGTATGTTCTCTGATCTCAATGGAATTAAACTAGAAATCAATAAGATATCTCAGAGACACGAAAGTATTTGGAAATTAAGCAATATGCTTCTAAATGATCTACATCAGATATGAAATCACAGAAGAAATTAGATAATTAAAATTGAGTGACAATGAAAACACACACAGCAAAATTTGTGGGAATTGAGATTCAAAACATAAAAGCTTGCAGAAAACCCTGTGCTAAGACAATGAAAAGACAAGCTACAGACTGGGAGAAAACATTAATATGCCACATATCTGACAAAGAACTAAGTACCTAAAACACTCTCAAAATAATTACCTCTAAATAAAGTTTAATTAAAAAAAAAAAGCACACCATGTCAGATGAAGTAATAAACAAAAAAAACTATTAGCCAGGAGTAGCAGCATGCACCTATAGTCCCAGCTACTTGGGAGGAGGAGAAGACAGGAGGGTGCTTGAGCCCAGGAGTTTACGGTTGCAGTGAGCAATGATGACACCACTGTACTCTGGCCCTGTCTCAAAAAAAAAAACAAAACCCTAGAACAAAAAAAAAAACAACAAAAAAACCAAATTAATTTGTGGGATGAATTTATACCTGGGCTTAAAGGGAAATGTTTAGCTTTTAAAAATGTTTATAATTAGAAAAGAAGAAAGGTCTAAAACAAATAAATATAAGCAGCTAAAAAGAGAACAAACAAACTCAAGAGTAGTAGAAGAAAAAAATAAAGGTAAGAGCAGAAATCAATGAAATAGAAAACAGACAACAAAGGAAGAGAATGAAGTAAAAGTTTATTCCTTGAAAATATTCATCCAATAACTAGACTGGTTAGGGGAAGGAGGAAAAAAAAAAACCCACAAATGATCAATACCATAAATGAAAATGGAGAGCTAACTGTAGATCCTACAGACATTAAAGATAAGGGATTGCTTGGTGTCGTGCACCTGTAGTCCCAGCTACTCAGGAGGCTGAGTCAGAAGGATTGCTTGAGCCCAGGAATACAAGTCCATCTCAGGCAACATAGCGAGACAAGACCTTGTCTCTTTAAAAAAATAAAATAAAATAAAATAAGGG